ATTTTACCATTGAATTATAACTTAAACAAGAATCTCTTCCTTCCTGCCCCAAGAGTGCTCCTGATCATCTTCTGCCTGCACTGCCCTGCCCTGCCCGCGGTGACTGATGAGCAGTTGTCCTTGGCTGCATCTCTGCTGCAAAATCAGATTAGATTATGCAGTCCCCTCCCTTCTGCCACCCGGGGCTCTTCTCAGGGGAAATTATTGAATAACCTCTGTGACAGGCAGAAGTGTAAATGTGATAACTTAAGCAGGTTGTGAAATAGCTGCAGCAACATGGAGGAGCTGTGGTACCCACATGGGGAGTGTGTGGTGGTGTCCTACCCTTCTGAAATGCAACACCTCTGTGGTGGAGACATGATGCTGGGTCTCTCTGCTAGGGCACTGAGAAAAGCTGGTCCTTCGGTCCCTGGTCGGTACAACATGACTTTTGGTGGAAATGTCATGTTTCTGGAGCCTGTTTTTATAGGGCAACATAGGGCAAGAGTTAAACAAGTGACTGTGAGCTGTGGCACCCACCAAGGGAAGAGACCTACAGATGTGCTCTTGCAATTTTGAGGCTGATAAGTCAGGCTTGAAATATCTGTGCCAAATTTTTACTTAACCAAAGCAGGGAGCCGGGCTTGAAAGCCAAGGGCCAGAAAGGCTGAATTATGAAATGTTTATCTTGGTAGGAAGATGTCAACAGCAGAAGTGAAATGGGAGTTTTGAAGTTAGTAAAGCTGCCAGCAGACTGCTGCCGGGGTTTCTGATGAACAGAGTTGCAGATGCTGCAGCCTTTTAGCACCTTTGAGGATGAGCAGTGGAAGGTGTCAGATGCTGTCCCTGGCTGGTGCATGCCGTGCCCAAAGGTCATCCTGTTGGAGTGACTTGGTGATGTTTCTGAGCCTTCATTCAGAAATTGAGACATAGGAATGCTTCTGTCTCAAGCTAACAACAATGAGCTACTCTGATTTTCACTTCCCCAAAAGTGCCCTCTTTGTCGATGTTCAATGAAAGCATCTTTGAAGTATGTCGCAGTTTTTTGGTGACAGCTTTCGCACTTTCCCCCTACACCTGACATTCAGCTGAACTCTCATTTTTCAGTCAGCTGCCCTGGTTCAGTACTTGGCAGCAGGCAGCTTCATTTTAAATGTGACAGCAACAGCAAATGGAAAGCCCCAAGCAAGAAAACTGGTGTGAGACATTACCAGACCTCTGTGAGCACCAACGTGAACGTTAAAGGAAGGTTTGGATGTGTTTCTACACTCTGTGTCTGTGTCCCACCTGTGCAGCCACTTCCAGTGCACCGCAGCAGCTCCATTTGTGCGTTCCAGTGATCTGTTTTTGTAACGAGTCCATTCAGTGCTTGTCCAGGGTAACAAACTGGCTGTGTCCAGCTCTGCCAACAGTTCATGGAATTAGAATTAGTCTAATGTAGGAGACGCCAGCGCAAGATGTTTGTGCCTACTTGTGTCCTGCAGCTGCTGGGAGGGCAGTGTGGCCTGATGAGGGCAGGATGTGGTCATGCATGGCGGGAGATACCGGCCTTGGCCAGCCTGCGAGGTGTAGGTTCCAGCCCTCCTCACGCCTGTACCCTCATCGCTTGGAAAGCGTGAGGCTGATGTCATCCAGACTTGGCTCCAGAGAAATCTGGGAAGCCTGAATGACAGAGCGCATCCTATGCTAAGAAGGTTAAGTTGCACATATTCGAAAGCTTGGTGGATGTGCTGAAATATGTAAGGTTTTGCAGCAAGATCAAAGCAAGCCAGGCAAGGCTGGCTCCACCTGGATAGTTACGGTCTGTCTGGGAGTGGGGTGGGGGCTGTCTGCCTTCCAGGCAGTGGTGGGACGATCGGTATCTTGTTGGCAAGTGCTCGGATCCCCCTTGTCTCCTGGAGGTTGCTGAGCCCACCAGAACTGTCTACTACTGTACATTACTGCTGCCTCCTCACTGCTTAATTCATCCCTTAGCTCTTCTCTGTATGGTGTGGGAGAGCTTGGCCAGATGGGTTGTGAATTTAGAGGACAGTTCTTCTACTAAATCAACCCAAAAGCTCCAGGTGGGGAAAAAAAAAAGAAAAAAAAAAGAAAAAAAAGAAAAAAGAAAAAGAAAAAAGAAAAAAAGAAAAAAAAGAAAAAGAAAAAAGAATAAAGAAAAAAGCAAAAAAAAAGAAAAAAAAGAAAAAAGTGAGCAAGCAGAACAGCATAATCCTGTTTTCTAGCTAGGGAGCCTGAGGGGGTTTCTTGGTCCTTTGCCACATATTTCAGCCCCAGCACATCTGAATCCCTGACTGCCCTGTACTTGGGTAGACCCTGCTCAAATGGTGAAGAACAGAGGGTTTGGCCCTATGTCAAAGGGGTAGTTTATCATGTCTTTTCTGACAGTGAAACATGCTCTCCTGCCTCCTTGGCATCATTAACCAGCTGCTCCTGGGCAGTCATTAGAGCGGCAGTGGTCCTGCTCAGAGCTGCTGCGGAGGCTGGCTGTGGCAGTGAGGACCATCCCTGCACTCCCTGCCCAGCACCATCCTGCGCTGGCACAACCCGACTGTCTCCTCCACAACCCCTCCAAGGCTCCCTCTCTCTCCAAACCTCAGTAAGCACCTGAGGACTCACGGCTGCATAGAGGCATTGGTGTGAGGTGGTGAGGAAGTTTGGGCATTTTTGGGCAAGTGTGCATGGTATTTATTTCTTCAGCGGCTAGAGGAAGGGGTGTTACTCGGAGTGAGATTGCTTAGCAGAATCTGCTCGGAAATGCTTTGTTTGTAGGCAGCTTTGTACCACCTCCACCCATTTAATGAGAGATTACTGGGGGAGAAGTTGTTTTTTTTTTTTCCCTGCATATCTAAAATAGCAGTTTGGTTTGTGCAGAGCTTTCACGTCTGAAGAGCTCATGCCAATGTTGGTGAGACTGGAGGTACAGAAGAAAACACACTTGCAACCAGGTAATCTCTCAAATCACTGCGCTCTCAGCACACAAATCCCATACTGGGGAGGTTTGGGGGGGGAATCTTAAAGGTATGTTTAGCCTTATTTGGGAGCAGTCCCTCAAATTAAAGTCACAAAGTGCACATGTTACTAGAGCGATGCAGGAGACCCATCAGCACACAGGGCTGGGAAAGGCAAAGTGTGATCCCCACTGTGCTGGGCTGAGCAGTGTGCAATCAGCTGCACCCCAGGCTGAGCTGGGAGGAGATACCCATCTCTGCATGCACAGCGCCATTTGTTGCTGCTTTGATCTTTTCAAAGAAAATGCAGGGGTAGAAGAGGGGAGAAACCAACCTCCTTAAAAGGTCTTCCTTGCAACCGGAGCTTCTCCTACTCTCTCTCCCCATTGTGCAGTGAATGAAGGCCAGATCCTGCTCTCACATTTTGGTGTTGACAGAGCAGATTTCTGCCTGATTCTCTGGCAAGCATGGTGAGAAGCCTGCAGCCCCTTGAGAAGCTGTCAGGGCTTTGCTACTGTCCTGTGCTAGTGGCATGGGCTTTGCTGGGCAGGTGGATGGAGGGCTCTGCTCAACAGTCGTCTGCAGGTCTCTCTTTAAGGGGTTTCTTCCTTTTGGCATGTGTCTTGAGTAGGAGGAGATGCAAAGGCCGAGCTGGATGTGGGGCTGTAAGGTGGCTGAAGTGGCAGCAGGGTTTGGCCCAGCATGTGCAGGCAGATGAAAGCCAAGCCCAGGGTCAGGAAACGTGGGTGGAGGTACGTGCATGGTACCTCCCATCCTGGGGCATGTTGGTGCAGTCTGAGCATTGGTACAAAGTGGCTAGTTAGTGGATTTACCTACTTAGCTGTTTGTGGGTAAATGCATCGCAGGGTGGCATGTACTCTTCAGCCTTTGAAAATCCTGGTTTCAGTTGCAGCTCATACCCCCTGCCCCTCACTTGGACAGCCAGGAGATGAGCTGTCCCTTTTGGGAACAGACAGCAGAGCAGATCCCATACCACCCAATCCTCTACCATTGCCATTTAACTCATTAAGAGACTGCACTCTGTGCCAGTAACACAACTTTATTTATATTGGATACCTTGGAACAACTCGCTGCCACTTTCTTTAGGCAGTCCTTCATGTGCTAAGGTTGAATAGACCCTAATACAGAGTCCTTCTTCCCACCGCCCCACCCCAACTCTTTGGATAGTAGCTGTAATACCAGTTCACTCAAACGCTTTTGCTGTAAAGTTTTTCCCCAGTAGAAGCAATTGGAATTTCTTCTGACCTTGTACTGCAATTGATGACCATTTTGTAGCTGTTACGTAGTATGAACAGTGCTGTAAACTTGTCTAAAGCAGGCTAAATCTGCCTCTGCTACTGTGACTGTGCATTATTGCCAACTGAAAAACAAGACATTTGTGACTTATAAAAACATCCTACCTTTCTTTTTCTGCAGTGGTTTCACTTAGACTTTTTTTTTTTTCTTTTTTAATATTTGCAATAACCTGTTTCTTTGTCACACCTACAGCTGCATAAAAACTGATCCAAGGTGGGGATGAGGGACAAAAATCCCCTTTACCACCAGCTGTACTTGTTTTGAGTTTTATGGGAAAATGGAAGACATTTTTTTTTCAGGGGAAAGCTATCATTTTACTCAAATTTGCATAAGGCAGAGAATTATTAGTGGCAACCTAGATCATTGCATCAGGCTCTGGACTGCTGTGGTTGACTGAATCAGGGCTAATTTTCATGTGTCTGAATCCTTCCCATTAGCAGAAAGTCCCTCCGTCCCACTCACACAAAACCAAAGTGTGAAAGCCTGCTATTGAGTCCCAGTTGAACTTGAACGTAGCAAGTATAAAATGTGAGCTGCATGTGTTTTGCACTAATGTGTTACGCATGGAAGCTGAATTTCAGTTTCTTCACTGGCTTCACATTTGGACTTCGTTAGCTTGGGAGACGCTTCCTTAAATTCCTTGTTGACAAAGTAGTAACAAATAGCATCCAGACAGCAGTTTGTGTTTGCAAGGACTGAGGCGAGGTGAACAAAATTGTTAACCCTCTGTATTGCAGAGCAGTTGGAGCTGACGGAGTCCATTATAAAGCGAAGGAGATGCCCGACGTAAAGAGGCAAAAAGCATACGATGAACACTATCAGGTTTGCAGACACGATGTAGACGGCCTTCCTGATTACCTTTTCCTTGTGACAGTTTTGATTCTTCTTTCTAATGAGTTCTGCAATGACTTGTATGGAGCAGTAACTCAAGATGATCAGTGGTATGAAAAACCCTACAATAATAGCACACAGTGTGATCACTGAGGGCTTAACAGAAGATTTTTCAAAGCAAAGTTCATCTTGTCCTCGGTCCTCTAACTTTTTAATGAGGGACATCACACAGATAATGATTATCCAAAGAAATCCAGAGGCAAAAGCTGCCTTTGGCGGCGACCTCAGCACCTTGGCTTTCAAAGGGTACTTGATTGCGAGGTACCTATCAGCTGCTACAACGGTGATGATACTGATGCTCATTAAGCGGTTTATGAAATAGCCACCTTCCAGAATTAGGCACCACGTATCTGCCTTCAGATGATAGAACTGGGATAACATTTTAAAAGGCAAAGTAAAGAGCAGCAAGAAGTCAGCCCCAGCCAAGTTGACCATGTATACTCTGGTTTCTGTCCATTTGCTGAGTTTGCAGCAGAACACCCAGAGCGCCAACGCATTCAGCAAAATGCCCAAAAGCAAAACTGGGACATAAATACACAGCTGGACAAGTGGAAAGCTTTCATAGGCTGTGATACTGCAGCTGCTGAGGTTCATTTTGAGGGTATTAAGAGGCACAGTTCCTGCAAAAGCAGATTAAACCTTTTAGAAGCTAGACTCTTGACTGAATTGGTGACTAATTCAGATAGTTCAGGGCTTTACCAACAGTGAAAACCAGACTGCAGAGATGACTCTGCAGAGCACAACTGTCTGTAGGGTACCTAGTGGGAACGGAGGAAGAGGGACAAGCCTGATCAGTTCTGGAGGAGAGAAAAATCACAGGTTCTTAATGAGTCCCATGCGGGGAAGACTGCTCGCGGAGGGCAGCAGGGGAAAATGCTTGGGCTCAGTTTAGGGCCAGATTCAGATCAGGCAGAAGCGGGTATCCTGCAGCTAGGAGTTGTATGATCTGTTACAACCCATTCAGAAATGGAAAGGGATTGCTTAAACTCAGCTCTCATCTGTCTCCCTATAGCGGTGCTTAGGAGAAGCCAGCCAGCATCCTTGCAGCTCAAAATGCTCTGGGAGATGTGCTGCAAAAGGACAGCTGTCCTCTTCTTCAGTCCTGAGCTGTCTCTGCGTCACTTCTCATTAGTGATAAAAGCAATTATTGGTACACATCTCATTATTTTTGGCTGCCATTGAATCCTATGTTCAGTGGTAGCATTTAGTGGTTTGCAGCAAGAATCAGAGTACTGGGGGCTACGCGTTGCTTTTAAAGGATTGTGAAAGTCGGTTGTCGTCTCAGAAATATTAGAACAATCTGCCACGTTCCAAGGCAAACTCCCCAACCCCCACCTGCAAAAAAAAAAGTCATGGCAAGAAAAGTGATCAGCAGCCATGTGAAATAGAGAGATGAGCTGTATCTGGTCTAGCGGGTGGTTTTATTCCCCTGAGTCTAAGGGCAATATTGCTGTTTGCCCTCCTGCTTTGGAGGAATTAATACAGCAATATTTTCTAGGTGCAACTATTTATGGACAGGAAAGACCCAGGAGGTCTGAGATGTCTTTGGATCTTCCCTGCAAGGGGAACATGGCTCCATGGGTGCATGTTCCCCGGGCTCAAAAGCATCCCAAGCAAGTCCCGCAGCGTTTAAGTGCAGCTGAAGCTCTTGGCTAGCTTTGAAAATTGTGCTGCTGAGGAATCATGCTGGGAGACCTCTTCAGAGGTGAGGGAACGTGCTACTGCCAATACCTGCAGCAGCTCTGTGCTTTGGACATGAGGAATGAGTTATGAGTCCAAAAGAAATAAGGGTAGATCGTAAGAGACAATGGGGAGATCTACCAAAGGCTGAGACAGCCCTTAAGCATCCAAAACATGCCAAATGTGGCCAGTATCTAAACAAGCCTTTGAAAATACAGAGGCTCCAGCACTCTCTGTTTCTCCATGACCATTTTGGTGTCCCACCATGTCTGGGGAAAGGCAGTGCCTTGCAGAGCTCAAATAACCAGATCAGCAAATAGCCGGGAGGAATTACCTACTGACTCACCGTCCTTGAAGAGAGTGGATGTTCTTCCAGACCAGCTGCGGTGCGACGCACAGGCACAATAAGCCCTCCTAGCGCTGCTCCTGCCCCATGACCGGTCAGGTGTTCCTCGATGACCATTTGCTAGTGGCTGTGGCACCAACAATGCTGGTGGAGGAAGCACCCCCGCCCCTCCTCAACGCATTTCCCTGGGGTTGAGCTTCCTCTGTCACCGCTGGCATGGCTCATACCACCCCCTATTGTCTGAGGAGCCTGCAATAGCCCTGCAGTGAGATGAAACGCTCATCTGCCATGTGGCCCTGCCGCGGTTCCTCTGGCGATGGAATGGCTTTGGGTTTCCCCTTTGATTTACTTTCCAGTGCCTGATGTCTCTGGAGGGTCCTGAGGTCTTCTGTCTGTCTTCTAGACTGCCACACTGCTAAGCCCCAGGACAGAGCAGCTCCAGCAGGCCCCCAGTCCCATTCACAGAGCTGTTGGAGATGTGAGGACAGTGGTTTGCAGACAGTTTTGTGATTATTGTAACTGGGTTTCATTCTGAATCATGATAATTCTCTTGTCTTCCATAATTCTCATCAGCCAGAAATTCTGAGAAATGTGGCAATGTGACCCTGTGACCTGCTGACTTTTTGAACCCTCTGCAGTTGCAGTTGCAGTCCTCCTTGGCTGCCCATTGCAGCCCGTTTACAAGAAGAGCTCAGATAATTGGTCAACAAACTCAAAGGTCCTGCTGTTAGTACCTTGAATTGCTGTCTTGGGCAAACACATTGCCCCTTCCCGCTTTCCAGGTTGCCTTAGAGCAGCCTCAGGAGTATTTCTGCATTGTCTGTCTGTGCCTTATAAACCAGTTTGTGAGATTAATTCCTTGCCAGTGTGTAGTCAGTATAGAGCTTAGCTTAAATACTGCTCCTGACTTTCCAGGGACTGCTTCTGCCTTTCTTGTGGCTGCTTCTTGGTGGATGCTCATAAGTAGTTACTGACTTCTTAGTACACCCAGCTCATTGATCCCTAACACCATAATTTTCATGTCATTGTCCTTGTTAGTACTTCAGTTTTCATCCAGCTCCCGAGATTGTGATAGTTTCGCCACTGTGCAGAAAACACTTCACTTTGCATCAGCCTCAAGTGTTGTCCACTCGCTCCTATTGTCTATGTCAAGGCAATCATTACTGGTATTAACCATAAGCAGTCAACGTCAGGCTTGCAGGGAACTGAGCTCATAGCAGCTCCCTAGTGTGATGCTTCCCATGCACAGCTTGGTGCTGTGGTGGCCAGATGAGGGCAGCTACGTCTCTGATCAGCCTGGTGAGGCTTCAAGCGAAGGACAAACCCTGTCACTGGGCACAAAGCAGCTGGCTGTGATCAGCAGGTTCACCAGGATATGTCAGAGCAACTCAACACCAGCTACCAGTAGGCAAAGCTATGATGAAGTGTTATCTGCTGCGGTGGGTTGACCCTGGCTGAGGGCCAG